GTGTTTGTGTTTGTGTTTGTGTTTGTGTTTGTGTTTGTGTTTGTGTTTGTGTTTGTGTTTGTGTTTGTGTTTGTGTTTGTGTTTGTGTTTGTGTTTGCTCCACTCACCAGAGGAGAAGGACTTATCAAGGAACTGTGAGTTTGTGAACACTTTGAAATGTGATGCCCCTCTGAGAGGGAGGGACTGTTTTGACGACAGTCCGGGAGAGACTTTGTTGTTTGTTCAGAAGACAGAAAGCAGGGTAGCTGCTCGGCCGTGATACTGTAGGGAGGGACTTTGTGAAGACATTCAGGCAGAAGCTCAAAGAAGAGCTTAGGCTTTTGATTTGGTTGTGGTGTATGCCACAGGGGGGAGGATTTAGGGAGGGGGCCTGGTCACAAGAAGATTCTGGGCCTTGGGCGACTGCTGAAGAACCTGCGGCCCAGGTCCTGCTGGAGGTGAAGGGCTTTGGTATTGTATAATGGTTCAGAACCACAGGGCTTCCCCTGAGACATTGTCAACAGCTGGATGCTGGGAAATGTCTCACCTTTCACTGTGGCACTTCCTTGTAGCCTGGAGCAATCCCTCTTAGGAAGAGGATCTTTCGGTATGGATGGCTTTCATGCGAGGACTGATACCGATGGAGTTGCACCAACAGGTACTTGCATTGGATACTTTTAACCTAGAGTTAGCAACTGTTGGAGAGGATAGAGGCCATTTGTTTACATGCTGAAAGTGTTGGCTCTGGAATAATTAATGTTTGTGGGCTGAATACACAATCAGTAAATCTGAAATTTTCATTTCTGAAATCGTGTTAGCACATGTTACTGTAAATTGATGGTGTTTGACACCATCATGAGCGCTTATAGAGAAAATATACCACTTACTGCATTTCATAGTCTCTCATAAGGTGGGATCAAATCATTTGAACAGAATTGTACTTTGAAGGCAAGGTACATTCAGAGGTAATTGAAGGTAATTTTAATAGCTCAGTAACTACACTTCATTCATTTTTGCATTCATTAAAAATGTTTGCATTTTAAGGTTGCAGGTCATCAAAGGACATTCTTTGTCTTGCTCTCACAGCGCTGGATTAAATTTTAAAAAGAACATTGGATTTGTGTTTACCACAGCCTTTCATACAAAAGAGGACAGAGAAAACAAATGATAACTGGCGAGTAACAGTACAAAAGCTCTCTGGGAGTTGTAGTTTATAACCAATGCTTGCCTGATAGAATAAGATAATAGAGAGGGAATTCCATCGCACAATGTACAGTATGAGTGCTGACAACTTGTTGCAACAATAATTCAGAATTGCAATGCAACAGTCTGATTACAGATATACCATTCTGGATTATAAATGATTCTTTTACGGTTATGTATTTTGTTACTGAATTGTAGGAGTTTAGTTTGTTGAGAATCTTTTTTAACTTCCGTTCCAGTCAAAAAAAAAAAGGAAACTCCAATCACTGTCAACTTAGATGAAGCCTTACTTTTTTTACTGTCATTTGAAGTGTTCTCTTGATGAAACATCCTACACGTGTCTGATTAAACACTCTGAGTATTTGCTGTGAAGAGTATTTGCTGGTCTTTTTTTATTTGTAAACTCTGAGTTCTTTGGGGTTAAGCTTACTCTATGACAATATTCCATAAAACATCCAAGACATTTTTCAATACATATCACTTTTTTTCAGGCCTGTCTGTATCAGTCACACTCTTCAGGATCCACAAGTTCAATCTGTAAGATAATATGAATTTTTATCCTAGGCATTGATACACGTTTCCTATCTCTGTACTTTACAACAATGTTGTTTCTGATGAGTTTTCTTTGCTTGATGCATTTTGATGTAACAGCTGTAGCAGAAACAGAACCAAGTGTAACCCTAATCTCTTAATTTAATAATGTTTATTTGCATGTCATTAACATGCTATGTTTATTTAGGTTATGGGAGATTATGTTAATACCAAACCAGCAATTTTGCTTCAAGGCACTGTTTCCACAGACATGGATAGAAAGTAAGTAGGAAAATAGAGTACATTTTCCAAATGTATCTTGTGAGTTTAGACATAATTCATTACATTTTTCTCACAAAAAGCAAAAAGTTCCATGTGTATTGTTGGGTGTTGGGGATATCTACAGTACATGTTTACATATTGCCATTAAAGTACAGTACCCTGTTCTGTAAAGCCAAATGATGGGCAGCCCTGAAAGTATTTGTACCAGCTGTCCCTTTATCTTTATTTGTCACTTGAGGCTGGAAAAGTGGTCAAAGATCCAGGTGACCGACTGCAGATATATCATTGAGTTGGTCTTCATGGAGGACAAAATATAGGAAAAATAGGCCCTTAATACAAGAAAGAAGGAGCATATGGAAAAAGGAAGGGTGTGCAGATGAAGAAGAAGAATTAAAACAGAAGAAATTAGTGCTGTGTGAGTTTCTTCTTTTAAACACTGGAACTACATACTGTAGATTTGAGCACCTGAAAGCAATAATTCTTATTTTGTAATTTTAGCCTTCCCTTTTTCAGGTATTTGTGCCCTGTAACTCAATGCAGGGCTAGACGGCTACATCTAGTCACTTTTCATCAAAGCTGTTGTACCTAAGCTCTAGCCACAGTAATTAACATGTACTGTAGGTTGCACCTCCACTGCTTGAGGGCTCCAGTGCATTCAGGTTTTCATTCTGTCCAAGTTCTTTTACAAGCAAAGCTTTGCTGTTTTTCCCCTTGCTGAAAAGGATGATAGTATAGTGAATATTTGTTCTTCCAGTACTAATGTGGAACAGGAACCACCAGACCTAAGCCATTCTTTCAAAATCATGACTAGGCAGGAGGAGAAGAGTGACTTCAGAGGCAGAGAGCTGGGGACCCTGTCCTCCAGGAATCTGGTACAGATAACTAGGCTTCTGCCTAAGAGATTTAAGATAAAGGGAAAAGCAGGAGAATCTGACATGCTTCAAGAAGTGGAGCACCTGGTACAGATGACAAGCTGAAATGAATGGCTGCTCTGTAGAAGGTCAGAGACACAACAGTTATGTTCATTCTGAAAATGTTCTGCTCCCGCCAGGATGAAATAGCAAAATATATGGTGTCCGTCAGTAAGGTGACTAGATAACAAGAGTGGGGAAAACAAATCTGTCTGACGGTAGGGTCAAGTAAAAGTAATTTTGTTTCTATTATTGTTATACTATACTAAAGTATTTTTTTTTTATGCATGATCTCCAGACCCTCCCTCGATGCAAAGCTGTGGTGCACACTAGCGTTCACCATGGCAGCCAGCCATTCACCTGTCACTCACGGTGACTCATGGCAACGTGTTCCGACAGGAAATCTGCATCATCTGTGAGGACTTTTCATCTATGCCCATATCAGGTGGTTCAGGATATTTAAAGATGGCTCTAACATTGCTCAGGACTCTGTTATAGAATCAAGCCCCGTGTAAGTCTCTTGTTCTCTCTCTCCTTCTCTTGTTCGCTTGGGCCTTGCCAGCTTTGCCCTGACTTTCTCTTGGATTGCTCTTGGTGCTTTGTACAGTTCTCCCCGGCTTTTAGTTTATGCCACTGGACTGTTTTTCCCTGTATGTTTGACCATGTGCCCAGCCTGCTACAGCACCACGCCCTGGTTCTCTCAGCTCAGTCTTGCCCAGTGCATGGGTTCACCGTACAAAACCAAACTGATGCCCGTGCAACTTTTTAAAATGAGGAAAATTATTAGTTAGGTGTAAGCTATAATGGTATAAATACTCTGTATGTAATTGGGAATTGGATATAAAATTGCAAACACCGTAAATGTAGTATAAACTACTTTAATATTATTATTCCTCTAAGCTAGTGCAAAACAAAGTTGAATTAATATGATTTTGTTGCCACAGAGCATGGAAAACAATTTAAAGATTAATAATGGATTTTCATTCTGTGTGTTCTCAGATTATTTCTCAAGAGTAATTTTCTTAATTGTAGGTATATATCTTTTCATGAACTGTATTTGCACACTTTAATAGATGTCCCCCAAAGTGGAAATCTAGAACTGCTTTATTGTTTATTGGATATTAAAGAGTTCTTTATTATACTAGCCTGTACGTTAACAATACTATTTCTGTAGATACATTTATGAAACTTTAATAGAAGAGAAAAGTACTGTATCTGGTTCCACTTACCCTTGAAACCACTCTTTTTCACTGGAACATTCAGAATTCACTGTTTTAATTGCTTTATTGTGGATTGAAATAACAGAATAGTAATAAATGGTGGACTGACATACAGTACAAGTGTTGATGACCCTTTTAAACAGCAGAGGGCAATGTAACATAAAGAATGTAGAGTATGCAAATCATCACTGGACTCTGCACAAGATTAAGACATACATATCATAGTCAGAGCTATATTTATGCTCCTGAGACCTATTTTAATCAGACCTATTTTAGGTGATGCTGAATATAAGATTTCCATCGTTAAATAGCTCTTCTGCAGTTGTTAATATTATAATATCCCAATATAGAAGACTTAAAACCTTACACATTAAAGAAATGAAATTTCACTCAATTAAGTACTGAAGTTTGCCTTTTTCCTATTTGTGTTGTGCTATATGACAGGTATGAGTCACTTTGCTTTAGCTCTATCATCTGACTTTAAAAGCTTTTTTTAAAGTGTAAAATTGCCTTTTGTAACTTTTGTAGCAGTTAAAATTGTTTAACGTGAAAGCATACATGTATGCATGTTTCTGGGACCTACATTATTAATTGCCAGGTTCTCACCTTTAAACATCACAATTGACTTTTCAAAACTGAGGTCCAAGACTAGTGAAAACATATGTTTAAAAGAGCATCCTATAAATCAAATATATGAGATGTATCTACCCTAGTATTATGTATCAAACATTGGAATGTAATTATCCTTAACCACTTAGAAATTGTTTTTCAAGTGTTTGGAGCAGTTTAAAGTTTTATATTTATGTATTTCTTTAAAACATTTTTTAAAGTTACATATTTTAAATTATTTCCTTTTTCCAATAAAAAAAAATAATAAACATAAATGCTATTGATTAGTACTGTAATTGTCATATCGTCTTTATGTGACATCTCTTACCAGAGGTACATGTAGCATGCTCCCTTTGAGTCAAATAAAAGTGGCATCTTAGGTTGAGGAGTTCATATTAAAAAAAAAAGGATATGCATCCTTTATTCTACATAGAATTCAGAAAAATTGATAAAATGGCTGCATTGTTAGACATTGAATGGACAAAAATGGTGTGTGTGGTGGTGTTTGTGACCATCTATTTATGTATTTGATCATCACAATGTTATGACTTTGTCCTGATTTCCAGGAACCTCAATTATCCAAACTACGGGCCAAGACTTAAACGATTTCCTCCATCTTTTGATCTCTTAAAAGACGTACACAGAAAATCAGTTAAAAGGAATTCACTACCCTGCCAATTCATTACACCAAAAATCTAACTGGCCAGTTCACTTGCCTTGCATTTTTATTTTGGCGTATGAAGTCAAGAGATTATCCAGGCATGGGATTAGTCTTTAACCCCCATCGTACATTTTGCATCTCCACCTGCTGTGTGTGGTACAGTTCGTCCACTTGTTGCATTTTTAATTTCAGCCTGCTTGGTTCAGCACAAATGTTGATCATATTTAGCAGTTACTGTATTAACAGTTCTGCTAACTGATAAACACATCCAGTAAATGGCATCTATATAATCGGATATATTTTATTTATAGTTAGGAACCCTGGGCATCAGCATGTTTCTCTGGAGGACAGGGACACCTCAGAACAGGAGAACAATCGGAACACCAAATGCATTGCATCATTGTATGAGAATCCTGGTTATTCTCTTGACCTGCTTTGGTCACTTTGATGTGCTGTACTGTATTATGAAATATCATCTCTCAAAACGCTAATTTAAAAGGTGTTGACTAGTGGAAGGTGTATTCAGCCTGTTTTAAAATGTATCAATTTATACAGTTAGTTACACGTGGGATCTTGTATTATTGATTTAAAATAGGAAAGTGTGCTCAGGCTTGTCTGAACACACACATTAAAATGGTAACATTCTCACCCATAACACCAGTCCTATAAAGTTCTTCTCAAGCAGCTCCTATCAGTTTTCACAGGCTTCACAGGCAGCTAGTCTGCTAAATCCTTTTTTGTTAATCACTTTTCAGGTTTTACCCTTTAATTTCATTCACAGTAATTTAAAATTAATCAAAAAGCTGTTTTAAACTGGGAATATTACCACTATCTAAAACCTCTCACCTACCTGAAATTTACCTGTATCTTCATGCTGAAATCACAAATCGGTGATGTTTACAGCATTGTTATGCAGATACATTATGCAGAAGACCTTTTGACTTTTAGCATGAAGATATTTTACTCCTTAATTTTGACATTCAGTGAAACGGAGTAACTTACTTGCTGAAAAAGGTTAAGAACATACAGTAAGAACAAGATCAAAGCAGACCAGTCCATTGACTGATCCAGTAACTGGTTTCTAAAGATTCCCAATGATTTAATAGGTGAAATATCAAATGGTAATAAGCTCAGAAATCCACATCGATGTCACTCATTCTTATTTCCCAAATGAGAATTAAGTTAAATAATAAAGCAATACTCCCTTTTCAGGGGTATCCTGCAATTAGCAACATGGAACAGATGGAGCTGTCAAAGTAGACATTGAGCTACAGAACAATTAAGTATGTGGTCAAAAAACTACAGATTATTCACACACAAAGTCTGTAATACCACGTTTTGTAGCATTTGTTTTCCTGTCTATACCACATTAAATAACATATAAGGTTTATTTTTGTTTTATACAAACATAAAACACTGTATAAGGTTTGTTTTTTTTTCTCCATTGGTCATGGTTTGATTATTCTTCTAGAATCACAACCGACAAATGTGATCTCTGTGCAGCTGCAGAAGTACCAGGAAGCTAAATTTATTTAATTCACAAGAAAACCATGTCTATACTCACATCTGTAACAGTAACTTGAGTGTTTAAGCTTTACATGTGTTTCAATTAATGACTGAGCACAATATGATCATCCCTTGTGTACATTTGTGTGAACTTAATTTAGGTAGAGGTACAGTACAGTAGGATTTCAGAACACTGCAGTGCAAGACAAATAATGTTGTGTTACAGTAAATCCTTTAAGTTTACACTGACCTGTCAGATTACATTACAAGAGTACAGGTTTAAAGAGGGTTTATATTTCTGCTTCTTTAAACAGATGTATATAATTATAAAAATCCACAACAAAAACTATGGACTCATTGGTTCCAGTTATGTAAAATACTTAAAGAACAATCATTTATACTGAAGCATGTAGCACAATTTCTAATAATCCATATAGCCAAATATGTACAACACTAAGAAACAGATACAAAACATTTTCTCACATACTGTATATCCTTTTCCAGTTCAAGACATGGAATACATTATTCAGGTTTAATGATGTTAAAATAAGTTTTATTCTGAAAACATAAACCTTCATGCCACATCCTCATTTTTCTTCTACAAATTTAGTAGACAAACTGTAGTGTATCAGCACAAAATCTTTCAGTTCTTCCCGCTAATTTGAGATGTTTCAAGCCATCAATATTATCATAGAAACACATCTCCCTGTTAAGCAATAGAGTGGAAATGTGCATCCCACTGCCATTTTAAGAGTAGGCCTACATTACCAGAAGTTTCTCAAAAAAGAAACATCAAACAAAATGAAAAAAAACATTATTAAATAGATCTTTCAAAATGCTTTATGTACAATTAACACTAATATATTAAGAGACTAAAATGACATAGAATAACATCTGTACACCAACTGACAAGACGGAGAGTTTACTCACAATATTAAATGAAATGCAAGTTTGCAAGTAACATTCAAGCCGTCAAAAATAATATGGTATAATTCTACATTTAAATTGAACTATTTAAAAAAAAATAGCTTTAAGTTGCAAATGGTTGCCAACATGCACTTCAAACGCAACACAATTTCACAAAGAAAAAACACCTTAACAAGACTTGTGCCTTAAGAACTCTCAAGTAGTGAAAGTTACTGACAACAGCTAAAAGGATTTTTATTAATTCCTATTTTTATGGCAAACAGTATGGCCTAATACATTTTTTGAAAACTGACATTTTGTAATATACAACAGTGATGATACATATTTTGAAATGTTAGTACAGTGCTAATAAATGGCACTGCATGCACACAAATGTGGCATGTCTAGACACTGTATATACTGTACTTCCGAGGTAACATTGAAAAAACAACTTTGTGGTTATGGCTAGCTTTGAAGATTCTGAGAACTTTTTTGCAGGATTTCCAATTGACAGGAACCGGTTTGTCAGGTACTATCCTGGGTAGGACCTTTTTGCTCCCAAATTAAGGCACAGTGCCTAAAACTAGTTTCTAGGCTTCTATTTTAATAGCACTGTAAGACATTGTAAGCATAAAGACAATAAAATTACAACAATTCAGCTTTGAAAAATGACCAATGTACAGTATGTGATTAGAAACCATTCTGAAAATAACAGGTTATGTATTCCTTGCTTTGTTAGGAGTCTAATTTTTAGTCAGACATGGATCTTGGACCATTTGAACCATAACTCAATTCAAAGCTACTAAACTGTAATACCTAGTTGAGGCTACAAGGATTTCAAGATTAGGACAAACATGAACACTGGAAAAACATTGTTTCAATACCCCGATGATTCATCAACACTGGTTGGTCTGGTGTGCTACTTTACATGAAAACAGTGGACACAAGCACTATGAGGTGTAAAGGTCTTCATGATTCAAAAACAGTACCTTTGATTACATAAAGAAGCCCCCACCACACAAAGCAATGTATTTTTCATCTACTATTTCACTGGAGAAAGTCCAGACATGAGACTGAAAATTTTGTGCTATAAAATCTCCTTTCCTATGTTGTCTCTCCTAAGCCAATATCGACAGTTCTTCGCATCTGAAGATGGCTTCTGTGGCCAGAACCAACAACTGCCTTTTGGAGCCATCTTCCTCCTGCAGGTACAGTCCTCCTGAAGCGCTTACTTTACCGAAGACAGAAATGTGATGCCACGTATGCATATATTTATATGCCTATTTCAAACAAAAGTCAATGGTTTCGTAACGCCATGCTCGAGTATTCTCCCTGTTGGGATAAAAGAAGGTTGGGACAGGTGAAGCAAAGGGCTGGCTGCAGATTTGCAGTCTTAGATACATGCTTACAGAACTTTGTTCAAGAAGAAAATGATGTTAAAAAAAACAGTTGCATATTGTATTCAATAAGCTGGCTTGTGCTCGGCCCGCAAATTAGGTTAACCTTCTTCTTCATTGTCATCCTCAATTGTTTCTTCGAAAATTTTATCAGGAAGTCTGAAACACTCTTCAAAAAAGTTCACAATCGATTGGTACAGGTGCTGCTTTATCCCATTGCTATGAATGTAATGTCCTTCATCTGGATAGATCTGAAAGGGGAAGAAAAGTTTGATGCTGATTAGAGAATGAGCACATACTGTGTACAGGATTTGCTTTTCATTCCTTGCCTAATCTAGTGATTCAAAACAAATATCGAAAGAGCTTCATCAGAGGTATGCTTAAATTAATGTCCTAATAAAGGTGAAAGGTACTGGTTGCATTAAGAACATGCGTAGATTATTCTTTCTGGGTTGAGGTTTTTTTTTTAGAAAATGCCAAAGAGCTTGCAGTAAATGCAAATCTGTATTCAAATGGCTTAAAAATATTCCCTGCCAAAAAGTTAATTCAATAATAAGAATTGAAGTCGTCTGCAGGTTTTAGTCTAGTGACAAAAGCTGCTTAATATAATATGCTGTACACAATACACAATATTAACCTTTGTCAAAAATTAATTTATTTTCTGAACGTAGATTTTTGCAAACTACTGTGTTCTAGTGTTAGAATGAGACGATAATTAATTAGGAACCTGTAATTAAGAACCTGCAATTTTTTTGGATAACACAATATTTTGCCATGTTACAATATGTCTTAAAATTGTTGCAGTATTAAACCATTTCCCCTTAAATGCAGGGAGAAATCTGCTTTAAATACAATAGGGCATTATTAATATTTCCATCATGCAACACACATCTTTATTAAAAACACAAGTCAGAAGGAGATCTTAGACCAAAAATATATTTTTGTGAAAAGGTAACAGAAAGATTTGTGGACATCCTTTTCTATAGCAGCTGTAGTTTCAAGGTTAAAGCATACTGTAGATGTCATTATAGTTTTAAAAATGCATTGTTCAAACTTTGTATTTGTCCTATAATGTTGAGAATATTAGTGCAATGTAAAATGAGAACATTGTATGTTTGCAAGTTTACTGTGCAAGAGAGAAACAGAACAGTGATTGAAGCATTACTGTATCCTGAAGCCCTCCAATTGACACAAAGCTAAAACACCCTTTAGTTTTTCATTTATATTAAACACTCTACAGTAATGAACAAATGAACACAGAGTGAGACATGATACACCAGCAAACCCCATGTTTCTCATCTTAAGTAGTGTAAGTCATGTGGAGTAAGACAAGGAGGAGGAAAGGGAAACAAAAGGCTTGATATTCAACTTTCAAATCAGGAACAGAACATAGTGCACTTAACAGCAGTATCTCCCTTCATTTTGCTAAGGAGGCATACACTATGCCAGCTATTAATTTGCTGATGAGGATTATTACAGTAATTAAAACGAAAAACATCACGCAATTAGGAAATCTAAGGAGTTTCTAAGATAAATCTTCAAAATATACACTTAAATGGAGGATTAAATATGCCCTATGTTTCTAACAAAATAATCCAATTAAAAGAAAAAAGACATTCTAAGCAGTTTAATCTCTTGAATGCAAGCCAAGTGACTTTTTTAAATGCTTTGTTCTTATAAAATTTCAAATTTAAACCTGTCAGACTTTAATCTAGCGTAGTTCCCAATGATCTTTAGTTTTTTTTTTTCCTTCAGATAGACAGTGTTCTGTCAGTTCACTATATATACAGTATCACTGTGCCAGTAATACTGTAGAGTTGTAACAGAGGAAATTGTTTTTAGTTGCTGTATCAAAAAAACATGAAATACAGTATATTAAGTCGACCCATTCATACACAGTATTTATGACAAACACATGGGATTTGTGACTTTTAACTGTTTCTGAAATTGATTTAAAATGACTATTTATAGGAAAATCTAAATTCCACTATTAATTAGAGCATAAGAACAGTTATGAACAAGGCAAGGACTGCCTGATAGTTACTGTAGGAGTAAATTGATCCCAGGAGCAAACCCAATTGTTTATGAAATAAGAAATAAGGAGATTGGCTTAGACAACAAGGGTAGTTTGTTCCATACTCCCACAGCCCTTTGCGTAAAGGCATGTCCCCTGTTGTTGGATTTAAATATACACTACTTCTGTGTAGTTTCCACTTGTGCCTAATGGTTTGTGTTGCACTGTTTACTTTGAAGAAACCTGCTGTGTTGACTTTGTCAAAATATGATTTTAATATATGAGTGAGAGATCTGTACTCAGGACTTTTTTGCATTTTTAAGTTAACATTTATGCTTCATCAGGAAATAAAAAAAAATGTGTTCATTGAGTCAGTTACCTACAGTATAAGAATTTACAGCAGGGTAATGGTGTCAAATCAAACGTGTGAGCAGGACAATGATATTATTTTTTGTAATACTAATGTGGCCTCTTTTTGAAGTCTAAGTATTATATAATAGGAATATTTTTTTGCAGTAATAAGCAACAGAATAGAATAGCAAAACTGAAACTTGAATGAGATCAGAAAGTACTGTAGTCTAACATAAGTTTAAATGTGCATTGATTCCACACATTTTCACAGTACCTTTTCAGACAGTAACTAAGATGCTATACATAGAAACCTTAAGAAATATGAAAATAATTTGCTGAAAAACTTTGCTGACAATAAAGGCTGCACTTTAAACAGAAACATTTGCAGAAAACTACAATGGGAAAGAACAGAACATGAAATAAAGGGAAAGGGAACAATTCAATTGAAGACATGAAATGTTGTCATGAGAATTGACCTTATTGACACAATCAGCTGTTTCTCACAAAAAAAAAACACAGTTATCACACAAAGACATAAAAGACTCTTTACCTGAAGTGTGTAATTTGCCTTTACATTGAGGAGCTGAGTAATGAACTCTGCTGTATGCTGGAAATGGACTTTTTCTGAGGAAAAAAAATAATTTCGCAATTAATTCAGAGTAATAAACTAATTTTAATCAGTTCCATTTGAGCTTTTAAAACATTGCAAGGTTTGAATAACTGATTTTTAAATTTGGAGCATGATATTCTTTGTTTTCAGTTGGACCCATTTTATAATAACTTAATCAGCACTATTTTGCAGGACTTAATTATACAGCTTCTGTTGGCGTGCCTTTCCCTGGTATGTTTTGTAAGATTCCCAAAAAAAGACTTTTTTAATGGGTGAATAATGACACAAAGAAAAGGCGTTTTGCTTATTTTAATAATGATCATCAATGGACCTTATGAGGCAAAATATGCTATAAATATTACTCTTGGAAATAAGCTATTGGAAGTGAAAGCTGGACAAAATGAAGTGAAACAGCTTTTCTATTTATTTCTTTGCTTTTAATTGCCTTATTTTCCACAATATGAGGGCAACAAATTATGCTGATCCCAGAGATTTTCAACAGCCTTCTCAAAATCCTTAGAGTAGTTTGGAGCTGCTTTTTATCTTAAATTAATGCTCAATATAACGGAGCATTTAACTTTTTTTCTAAATAAAAGTTTTTTTTAACATCAATTTTTAATTACTGCAAAGAATACAAAAAACTAAAATTATTGTATGGAATTAAAATAATGAAATGTATAATTATTTTGTCAGTATTATTTTTTATTTTGCAGGTTTTCTACGCTTTGTAATGGTTTCTTTGAGAATAGTTACTACTAATTGCCCTCATTTCCACAGACTTTTCTCTGTGTAAGCAAAACTGAGTATCTTGTTCTGTATGTGCAGAATACATAACTTATTGACCAGCATTACTTATTTTATTTGGTATGGCAAATAAACGGAAATACTGTATATAACTAACATAATTGAAAAAGAAAGTTTAAAATATGGGCATGTAAAGAAAAAATACAATTCAACATATATTTTATTTCTCTCTAGTATCCAGTTTTAATGTGTTGCTGCTATTAAGCAACTATATCAGTTTATACATGGTTTAAAGTCCCAGCATAAGTGTTTTCAGTGTTGCCTTATTAGTGCTATAGATCACTTTTTGAACTGCCACTCACTCAGTACATCACATACTGAGTAGTACTGTGACTTTCAACACAGTATACTGTAATTATTTGTACCTAAGGCATATTTTAAAATGATCAACAAAGGCTTTTTGTAAAGCAATTCTCTCTAAAGTTCATCAGTCTTTTTATTTTTATTAAAATGCTTTTAACTTACCATCAGCTGTTGGATGAATAATCAGAAACTTCTTGTTTGTTAATTGTGTTGCACGCGGTCCTAATTTTGCCATCTGCAAATAAATGTTTTTTTTTTAAAAAGTGGTAAAGTACATTATGGTACAGTATATTAATACAACATGCCTGAAATTACAAATGAAGAAAGTACCTCATATGCCATAGATTCACGCTCAGGCATTCCCAGATATCTTTCTGAAAATGCAGAGGCTGGAACAAAACAGCAGAAACAGTTAGGATATAAATTTGCTTGCTATTTGTTCAAATATTTTTTTTAGGGGAGACTTCTGTAGGCTTCACAGTTAACATAATTGTAAACTGATCATATATCTGACCATGATTTTTTCTCTCCAAATCATTATGTGGTGTGTGCTTAATTTAATTGCTACCTAAATTGTGGCATTCTGTGCACATTTACACAGGCTTAAAGTCAGTAACAACGAACACATAAGAGTAATAAGTCATCTGAGCAACACAGAGTCAACAGTCAATTTATAAAAAAAGAGGGATTATGAAAAAAGATGAACAAGATATATAATAACCTTTAATACTTTCGCCAGCTGTTACAGTAAACCCCAGCACTGGATCATGTTTGTGCAGTTTTACATTGCAGCATTTGAAATAATGTTTTTGAATATCCCAAGATGTACTTTATGCACTTTTGTGTAAGAAACTAAACACAAATATTAGGAAAACAGGAATTTGTATAATACACCTGATCTTTACATTTAAATGTTCACATTCAGAATATTGTAAGCTTTAATGCACAAACCCATTGTTGATATGGATGAAAGCATGGAATGAAGCACGTGTTCTTAATCTACTTTATCCAATTTATTGTCAGCGTATTTTTGTGGTAACCTGATTTTGCCTTTCTGCATACCTTGAAGAACGGATTTTTGAACTGTTACATTTTTTCAAAGCATTTTCAACTGGATGCGACTGGTAGAAGCATTGTGGCACGTTTCCTTAAAGTGTAGAAATAACTTTGAAAGAATATTTTGACAGTGTTGCAGTGAGAGGTCATTTCCCAATGACTCAGCATGTTCTTCAAAGAGAACTGAGAATCCAGGGACAAACTACTGACACTTTACAGCACATACAGTGATTTTCAATTTTGCCCCCTTTTATGCTGTAATAGACAGATGCTGATTCCCTTCCTTAATGTCACATACGCAGATACAATCGCCCGCTGCTGGCAGGAAAGTAATTAAGAGGAGACCCACTACTCTTGTCTCCTGTCACTGCTTTCTATGCTTCACCTATTGCTTTTCTTACAATTCATCCCTTCAAGGCCTCATGGTTTCTCTCAGTGCTGATAAGAACCTAGTATTGTCCTCACCATATAGTCTGAAGTCAGTAATGGGGGAAAGAACTGCTCCACATTTTAAAGATTCATCAGTGCTCAGAAGACGGCTGGTCAAATAACCTCCGTATACCTATAGAAAAAAAAACCATTAGGAACAAAACATTACCGTGGAACCACAGTATCAGATTGGTTAAAATTGTACATCTATTAACAATTGGGACACTCCGATCTCTTATAATTCCACGAGTTTAGGTATGCTGCCTTGTATTTTTCGTTTTCCTCGCAAATGAATTCCTAAAAAAAAAGATTTGTTTCCACTTTACTCTTTGTCAACAGTAAAAACTTACAGTGCAGTATGGAAAGGTTTATTTTGGTTCGCCTTTATGGTCCAAGGAAAGTGCTGCATGCAGAAAGCAAAGCTAGAGAATTCAAATATGATTTACTGGTGGGGCCAAATTTTGCAAGACATCCACCGTCACGAAGTACTGAGAGTCGAGGAATGTTCAACCGTGGTTGTAAGGTGAAACAGGAAAACAAGCAAAGAATAGGGTACCTTCATAAGATTTCAATTGGAGAAATACATGCTGACAGAACAACATCGATATAAGCCAGAGTTGAGAATTTCCATCAACTCAACAGAGTGTGAGAGTATTCTGCAAAGAAGGGTCTGGGAATGAGTGTTTTTTAAGAAGAAAATAAGTAGCGGATAGTGACAATCTACCTTCGGTAAGAAACTACAAAACACCCACTAGCAGTGATAACACACTTCTTACTATTGCTATCAGCTGTGGTGAATATATACATTTGAAATATCATATCACCCACAATCCATAATTTGTTTCAAAAAGCCTTCGTCATGAACAAAGTGGAGGCAAAATCAAACTGGAAAAACGCCAAAGGGATCATTGCATGCTTTATTCGTACTTTGGTCTGCCACCAGGTGCTAGAATGCTTATGTATGTTTTGCCTCCCCTTAGTGCAGTTCCTTTGTGATGTAACCCTTATTGTTTGTTGTGCTGCCACCTGAGCCACAGGCCAGGTGATGTCCAATTCCATTTTGGCTCCATTACTCAGCTGGTCTATGATCCAGGCTATGTGAATTAAATATTAATGCCATTCTTATCATACTGGACAATGGATTTTGAGAATGCACATTCATGGCGAAGCACATTGATAAGAGTTGTTGTGGGTGTTTTTGTCTAGAAAATCAAAGAGGTTGTAAAGAGTTAAAGAAATCATTGTTAGTTTTTTCTACTATCTATAATTCTGGTGGATTCCACTCCAGTTTTCTAAAGAATGAAAGCAGTATTGCAGGGTTTTCCATTTTTCTATTTGGTGCGGTACACCATGTTGCTTGCTCACAGTTTGATTCTTTTTGTGCATTGCTGATTTAGAATACGCATTTTGACCTTAAAAGCTATGAGTCATTATATATAATTTATTCAACCAATTCATATATTATTATTATTGGATTACATCTTTGTGTGGGTTTCAATTTACGACCCAAACCTCTCAAATTCCACTCTCATTATATGTTCTAAAATTCACCTCTGGAACATTTTTATTTCTATTCACTATAATCAGCTAAAAAGCTGTTAAGCATTTAAAGAGTAAGGTCTTCATAACATTGAAAGACACAGCACTGTAATCATGACTGTTGTACATAAGCTCTTATGAAACGGTATGATTGTATTTTGTTTGAATGCACTGTTGTAAAACTCTCAGGGAAAAAGTGGGTTACTGAAGGAAAAAAATAATAACAGCCAATGTCTCCTGATGCACTTTGGAGGACATTAAGTGGATGAAACATTGTTTTAACATAACCTATTAAGCATGTTCAGCATGAAACAATTTCTGGCTGTTGTAGTGGGGCTGTGGCATTGGTAAATGAAATATGCATTTATAAAAGCCCAATTAATAACTAAACTTGAATGTTAAACAGTATATTGAAGAATTAATAATGGTAAGTAATATTGAATGAAGATTTATCAACATCTTATGGGGTAGGAACTGCTTGTATTAATGTGGACCATGACTCATGTGGAGTATAATGTTTGTAGACAGGACCTAAACTGATTGATTGATTGATCAGCACGTTAATGCTGTGAAAGGAGACAAGAGCATCTATCATTCAGACAGGTGCCTGTGGGAAACATCACAGAACAAACATGTTGCCTAGAAAGCCTTTCAGTTCATATGACGTCTCTCAAGTCTTGCTTTACTAAAAGAGGTGGTGAGCAGAAGAAGACAGTCCCACAGCTCATGTTTAACAAACTTGTTCACGTTCTGTATACTGTATGTACTGTATCACTAACTGCAGCTCTAAATATGATTTTGGATGCCTGTCCTAAAAAACAGTTCATCAATATTAGTGACAGTGATTGTGTACTTTCAGATGTGCAAATCTGTTTCTATTGGACTTTTAACAGTTAAGTTCTTGCAAAGAAAGGAAAAGCAAAACAACAAAATACATTTGCCTACCTTGAATAAGAACATTAGTCATCACCAGTCCCGGAGGATTTAGGAACAGAGAAAAACAGAGAGAAGTTTTTAGAGCCACATTTTGATTTTGTTTGTGTTTTGCTCCTACTTGATCATTTTGAAAATGTTCATCTGCCAGGTTCTGCCAAACACGGTTCCCTAAATAGCTGAAAACTAGAATTTGAACATTAATCTTCCATTACAAACTTTATCAAAAGCCTTTGGAAAATCTAAATACACCATATAATTTGCTCTGTTTGTGTCCAAGTGCTCAAAGGACATTCTTGCTTGGACAAGACGGACTTATTTGTCAATTATGACTTGGGTCAGTTTTGCTACATTTCTTAATGACATTTGCAGTCTTCAGTTAAAATATTATTATATTCTAGATACATATTTTACAAATAAATTTGCAAATCAGTTAAGGTGTGCACAATATACAGTAATATAATTATTCACCTGTATTTACTTTGGTTAGTTTTCACAGTCATCAATCTTTCAGCTGCTTTCATTCCATAGAAAGTGCTGAATACAGGCTGAAAACTGCTTAGGCACATCACCAGATTTACAATGTATGCGTTCCAGAAAGCATTTAAATTTATAGCACTTTGAACTACAATGTCAATTCTTTCTGTTAAGCCTTCTTAAAAAACTGTTTGGTGATGCCACCAGTAAATAGAACAAATGGAATATTTAGATTAAAATTATTTTAAAAATTATATAAGGATGAAAACAGAATTAGTGTTTTACATAATTCCTTATTTTTCTGTAAAGCATGTACTATACAGTACATACTGTATAATGCATACTGTATAGTGCCATTTTAATCAGTAGTCTCTGATGATGAGAGAGCTCTATTCCCCTTATCCTTCCTCTGTGAATTCTTCCTTCATAGTAACTAATTCAATATCCTGTAGTCAGGTCCCAGTGGTCTTCAGCTAAGTGATGAGCAGAGAGCTTCCGTATGAATGAAGGTCAAAATAAAGCATAGGTAAATGGTTCTAACTGAATTCTAATCTCAAAACATAATTGCTCCACTATGAAACCCTATCATTCATTCTCAAAACATGTTTTCTAATTCAAGTCTTGTGAGGCATTGGAGAGAATAAGTAGGCTTTCTTTTTATTTTATTTCTAGGTTAAGTAAAACTATGTACATTTATTCATCAATTCAACTGTATATCTATTTTTTCCTCACCTGATTTAATGGATATTTATACAAATATTACTGTAGTGCAAGCAAGCAACAGATGTACAAGAAATTGATCCATCTGATCAGAGCTGCAATCTGTTTTTTTTTTTCTGGGAAAAAACACAGCAGCATTCAAGGATGTTTTGCTCTTGAAGCATTTCCCGTAATTGATATTAAATCTGCTTAAACTTTGAGGGCTGAATGTTTTTAAAACCACAGGGGCATTGTTGGAAGACACTGGGTAATGAGAAGCAAGACACTACAATACTGCAGCCTAGAGGAGATATTTTAATGAGGTGGAGTTAGGAGAACTGTGCAAAACACGACAATGTCTGAAGGCATTTGGTTACTTTTCAACACTAACACTAACTCAAACATTAAAACACAAAACAAAATGTTTTTTTAAATGGTAGAATTAACAATAGATATGTTTATCACATGAAAGGATGCAACCTATTTACCTTAATAATAAGGAAAATGGGGCATGCCACTTTCATATACTACAGTAAAAGACATACTCTAATAAAGTATTAAATTGAACTGCAGTGTTGCTTTTTAAAAGAAATATACAGTACCTTTGCTGAAAGTGTGTACCACAGACAGAAGTTAAGGCAGGTGCTTATATTTTATGCTACAGCTATTCAACAATGTGTCATTTATTCCCAAGAGCATAATGCATTTGTAGCTATCTTTCCAACGGTACTGTTCCAGTTCTGATTTCCAGTTCTTATTTTTAGAATTGCTCTGTTGTGTAATTTGGTTTGGTACGTCTTGCAGTCAATAAGAGGGAGCAGGATTGATAACAGTACACAATTAAATTGTAAGCAGGTGGTACAGTAGTTATGATAATATTTTTGATTTTAAAAATGAAATAATACATTTAAGCAATAAAATTGTATATAACTTATTAAATTTGTACGTTTGTGTTTATCACCATAACTGTTGACCTGTGGCACAGCCCAAGATAACGCAAATCCTTTTAATAAAATTGTCCTGTTTCAATGAAAACTGCTCAACAGCACTCAAATACAAGAAAAAAAAGATGTTATATGTCAGGCAACAGATTTAATGGCACAAAAAAATGAAAGCATTACCTTTCCAAAAGCACCAATACGGGTTTTATCAACATAAGGTTCTTTTGATAATATTCTGAAATTAAAGAACAAGATAAAATGAACATAATAAGCCTCTTTTCTTTAAACAGATACAAATGGTTAAGTAACAGAACCTTTCCTTTCATAAATACCATACATCAGAAAACATCTGCTTACGGAAACAAACATTACTAGTTGTATCAAATAATTGACATCACAGATGATTTTTAACACGGCACTGGTGATCAGGAAAGAGTTTATGATGGTTATGATGTCTTTGTTTCTTGTCTTAAGTCTACTGCCAGGAAAAGTCCTATCAAATCTGGACCGGAGATTTTGAGATTTAAGTGGTGAATCTTCTGAATTTCTCTGTAGTCAATGACATTAAAATTATCCAGTGGCAGATGCTGTATTTCCTACATCACTGGCCTCTTGCAGACAGGAATACTGAGTGAATACCGTTGAAACTTTTCAACACCCTCCCTTCTTTAGTCTCCCCCGAAGACTAAGGATCATGTTCCTTGCTGATATTTCCAGATTACATACCTCAGAGCTTCCAGTTGATCTGTCTGCTCATAAACTCCCAGTTTCTTCTTAACTTTGTGAAGCAGTTTTGTGCCTTGGAATCCACTGCCACGTCCGTCAAACCGTATGACAATGGTACTGAAACTGCTGACCAGAACAGTGGCCCAGTCCACCTGATACCTCTCTGACACTGTCTGGGCACCTGGGGTTCCATCACTGTAACAACAATTCAGTTCCATGTTACTAAATGTGCACTGGTTTCATCAAAAGCACCCTGATCGCTAAGATGTGTGTTAGGTGTGTCAAAAAGAAGAGTTTTTGGTGTTATTACACCAGAGGGCACTATATGAGCTTAATGAGAGCACCACTGTGTCTCTGAAAGCTTAAATGCATCCTTTGCAAGCCAGCGATAATATCAGTGCCCTCTGGCTTATCTGTCATTGTCCACTGGAACATACTGTATTTGAAGTGGTCCTATTTGCAGCACTTTCATGACACAGCTGTTTGAACAGAGAAGCTACTGTACACCGTGTTGTCAGATACATGTATACAGTATATCTTTATTTTACTTTTCCCTTGATGGCCACTTTTTGGGTTGAAATAACTGATGACGTAATGATAGAAAAGGGCAAACAGAAACATTATGAGCTGTGAGTCCATAACAGGAGAAGATTTCATTTTCAGCTCTCTATACCTGCTAGCATGTGCAGAATGCACTGCCATGGGGCTGATTAATGTCACAGATGTGCACAGGCATTACATGATTCAGATATTTATTTCTCAAAGAAAATAAATAAAACTGAATCATTTAACCGAAATGCCAAAGAGTTTAGATAATTCAGTCATAACAAAGTTTAAAAAAAAGGAAACCTGAAGCTGCCTAAAACCTTCCAAAGTTTGGTTATTTTCACAATGATATTATTTGAAATGCTGAACTTTAAACCAACAATGCACCTAAACAAAAAATAATATCAATCATGTCAACTAATATTTCTCTGTTGTATTGAATTTTGTGTCCTTGTTTTCTCTGAAGTCATAAAATAAATAAATTTGACTGGTCTCCCTCAGCGATATACTGTACAGCTGATGAAAGATAAGGTGAGCTTCCTTTTAAAACACACAAATTGGAGACAGAAATCAGTATATGCATTAAATGTTTGTCCTGCCTGAAAATGTAATTTAGGTTTATAGAACTTAGTCTTTACAGTGAAGCAATATGGCAAGTGATTAAAACTAAGTCACACTAAGCAGTGATTTATTTTTAATTAAGGAAGTTTATCACACACTTTCACAGGCATAACATAAGAAACAACAACAGAAAAACAACAACAAAACACTGAGTCATGAATAGCAATAATTCTAACCGAGTTAAAAAAGGTCAGTTCTCAGTAGGAAGCTAATGGATGAGGAACACATCACTGCCTCTACAACTCTGCTGCACTCTGTGACCAGGGCTGTAATTTTTCATTCTGTCCCTGCAGCATGCAGTTAAGTAACCTGTTATTCATTTCGTTTTCAGATATTCTGTTATCAAATCCCTCCAAGAAAATGCTTCACAAGTTTCCTATTAAATCACTTGAAGTATGAAATCATTATCTCATTTTTCACATTCTGTGTATGAATACATTTATTTTGTTGTAGTAAGCATCGGAGGCCAAAGCTGTTTTGCTTTATGTTTATGCAGCAGAATTGACTTCTTTGGTGAAATATTTAAACATACGTAGACATTCAGCCTGATTCAGTCTTTTTTGTAAAGAAATACGCAGTTGAGAGTTTTGTTATATAAATATCTCTTACTGTAGTGATTGTGTATCCCTCCAAATTAATACCGGTAGCCAGAAAACTGATTGCTGACCTCATGTAACTTTTCTCAAATCCGATTACAAGGGATTAGAAGTAATACCTTCACAACAGTGTGGCAAAAATAAATGATTTTTCTCCATTATTAAATTAAAAATAATAAGACATGTCAGACCAAAGATAACTGTGATTCCCAGTCCTGGAAGTATATACACTAACAGCAATGCATTGGGAATTATAAAGCATTTTAAAACATTTGACTAGATCCCTTTTAAGGTCCTTGGTTCTGTGTTACAGTATTTTTGTTCAATTTAAGTGCATAAGATACAAGAAGTATTTGACACTCACACTAGCAGAAGAAGGGGGTAATGTGATGTTTCCAGAAAGCCCGCAGGTTTCATGATCTGCATTGTCAATGCTATAAATAGTAAAAAATAAACAGAAAAAAACAGAGAAAAGGTCATACTGTGCATCACTGTTTGTGCAAGGCTGTTAGGGAACTTCCTTTTTGTTAAATTATACTTTTAAACCAGAAACGAATCGATTGTTGTGGGGAGAAGAAGGATAAAGAAGGGAAGGTAGAGGAAGAGAAAATAAGATGGAGGTATTTTAAAGCAAAACACAAAATTTAAAGGTCTGGAGACAACTTGGCATTTTAACACCAACATGGCGATACAACACTGTTGTATTAGTTATGGCACCAGACGTTTTATTAGTATACATTTATAAAAATGCATTTTAGCCTTGCATGATAATCTGTGATCACCATTCAGCTAAAGTTATAAAGTACTTTCATCACTTTAAGAGATTTCACACAAACTCACACAAAACAGAAAAACAAGTGTAAGCAAATCACCGAACCTTCAAATGATTTTGATTCAGCATTTTCTGTATGTGAAAACAATTGTTAAATTAACGTAGAAAAGTAGAAATTCTGTTTTAGCTTCTTTAGTCATCCACAAAGAAAGAAATCTATCTGAAACAAATTTGTACTACATTGATTTATTTGGTAAGGGTCCTCTAAATTATAACTTTCCAGTGGACTAATAAAAATTTGATGGTAACTCTACTGATACACACACAGCCTATACAATATATAAGAAATAAATTGGGCTGTGGGTTTCACGTTACAAAGATGGCCTGAGTAGTCATCTGTATCCCCCAAAATACATTTTATTTTGGTATGAAATAGGGTCTTACAGACTGTAATGAAAACATTCTTTTTCTGTGGTTGAGCACTTTTTTGTGTGGCAAATTTTCATACACTGTAGCTGTTTTAATACACATCTATCGTGAGATAGAGATAAAAGGACTTATAAAAAAGAGGACAATAATGACCCAATCTGGTAATCAGAAAAGAAAAGAATGTCTAACCTTAGTCTGCAGTTGTGTTTAACTAGACAGAAAAGTATGATACATACTGTAATCGTCTATAGTTATATCTTTGTATTCCACTTTTGGCATCTGTCTGAAATCTATCATCTTCTTTAGATCCTCGTTGGTCTCCAAATCCAATATATCTGCAATAATAAAATGTATATACACAGCCATACACTTCATACACATAAATTAAAACCCCTCACCGTGAGGAAACTGCTTTCCCATGAAGAACAGACATGGAATGAACGAAAGGTCAGCAAATCCGCCTTGGTAGGCATTCTCCTATTCAAGTGCAAATCAAATCTTTTTGCACTGTGGAATTGCTGAGGTCTGTTTATGAGATATGCAGTCAGGATAGGAAAACAAATCACTCAAGTCCAAAAAACCATCAAGATGGACTGAAAAGAATTTGCTTTGGCTAAAGGAAAAAAAAGAAGTTTGGCTGGTCGGGGAGGACTTGTTACTCATTATACCTTGGGTATAAAATGGCTTTTTCAAAATGAATAATGTAAGGAACAATGTAAACATTGTCAATGTTGTTTTTCATTTTTCGTCACACCGGAATTCACAAATTAACCTTGACAAAACGCAAGCAAATGAACATAAGAAATTGATGAATGGATGAATTTTCTCTGTTCGGATGGTCTTTCGGGGATTTAGAGGTGTTCAGTTGCAACCCAACAGATTTCCAGTATTGGTTCCTCAGCCGAGCACAGACACCAACACAGCATCGGTAGAGCAAAACTAACTGTCACGTGATAGTCTAAACCCTGCTCAAGTTCCTTATTAGCGGCTGGACTATCCAGTGCCTGGTCAATTCTGCTTCACAATGACAGGAAGAGCAATCCAGGCCTCTCCTCACTGTACACTAATCATCAGCTCTCACTGGGATGTTTTATCCTGAAACCCTGAGCTCAGCCAAACCCCGAACACAGGCCACTGCTACCTGCAGCCCATGTGAGATTCAGTTCACTTCCTTATCTCTTCCCATCTAGTTAAAGGAAGGCATTTTGTTTAAATACTTTATTTTAGTTTGCTTGTTATTGCACACGATTTGTTACAAATATAATCAGATAAATATTTGCATTTGATTACTTTTGGGTTTAACGGGAAAAAATAATCAAAATATAATAGCACTGAAATGGCAGCAGGGAGATGTTTTTTGACACATTCTTTTATAGTGTCTTACAAAACTGAATCAGTCTACCTCGATATTTTGAGCCACTCAACACGTAAAGAAAAAATATTGCTGCTTCCAATAATATTTAACACTGAGACATTGACAACAACTCAGAACAAGAGGTACTGTGTATCTTTACACAAACGTTCATAGGGGTACGGAAAACACTGCCCATTCATGTTGGTTGAATGGTTGGATAAAATCATTGGATCAAATAGTTACTGAAAAAACAAATTAAATGGGCTAAATGGGTTCCTTACATTTGTAACTTATCTGATGTTCTTAACATACACCTTTTGTATGTAACACCGTAGAACATATTAATGTACATATTTTGGTAGTTTTAAAGAAGAAGAGTTAATAGTGTAAGAGCAATTCCACAAGCTGTGATATTAAAGTTGTTTTTATTTCCTTACATACAAATATTACTAAGCTAATAAAAGGGAATTATCATCTTGGATGAAAACAGAACTCTATGGGATCATACAATTTTTGCAAAAAACAAAAAAATATATACTGATAGAAAAAGGAAACGCCACACCTCCTCCTACACACTCTGGCCCTCCCGTCTGCGTAGATCAGGCTGAAGAGTGACTCATCCATGAAGAGGACCTGATGCCACTGCTGACGAGTCCATCACAGCCTCTGTCTGGCCCAAGCCAGTCGTGTGTGATGTCTAGGAGATGTGAGCAGAGGGCCTCTGACAGGTCGCCTTGCTCTAAGGCCAGCAGCATGGAGCCTCAGTGTCCTGTCACTGATGTGGGCATTGTGTCTGCTGGCAGCTTCAGCAGCAGTACAGGCGGCAGATCTGAAACGATCTCTCAGATGGACCAGTCTGATATGTCGGTCCAGCTCTGGTGTGGTCACTCGAGGGCGACCAGATCTTGGACGGTCATCTGTCCTGCCAATCTGCTGAAACCTTCTCTGCAGTTGGGACACAGTGGAGCCGCTTACTCCATAGTGTCTGGCAATGCTGGCACATGACATACCAGCCTGCAGCATGCCAATGGCCCTCTCCACTGCCTCTGGTGACATTCAAGGCATTATGGGATGCACAGAAAACTGACTTAAGTGTGGCGTTTTTCTTGCAGTGACGTAAGCTTCGAATTAAGGCCTTTTTAAAGGTGACCTGATCAGGCATTGTTCCACCTGGACCTTGTTGGGTAAAAGTGCACCTAACGTACTTTCGTGTGATTGGCAAGTTGCAATGCCTCACTGCACAAGATGTACACGTATTGCTTTTCAGAGGGCTTAAATCATATTGACAACTTTTTGTGAAAGTACATAAGCTATAGTATTCTCGTTCAAGAAAATGTTGCGTTTCTTCTTTCCATCAGTATATAATGGTTAGTTTTATTTCTCGGGTAGTTAATTAAAATAGAGTTTGTTTTCTACATAAAAACATTTGTTTTTTTATTTGTATCACTTTGTGTGTTATAGTAATGTGCAAATTGAGCAAGAGGAATTTATGCTGTGTAGTTTGTCCTGCTGAACTCACAGTACTAAAGCTATCCTTCAAAAGTACACTGAGCTTGACTCACTGGTGAATGTTGTAAATAATTCATACAAACGTCTGTGGATTTTCAACAGGTTCTGTTTACATAAAAGCTGCCTTCCTGCCACTCCCTGCTGTGCTAAAGTCCTGTATTTCATTACACCATGCTGGTTGCGCTTAAAGTCCAATGGGATAAAGGCTTTGACCTGCTGAAATAATTGCACCTTATTTTCTCCCTAATAATCAGTAAAGTGTGGGAAACTGGTATTCCAGTGGAACCTCTTTCCAAATTTCCACATGAAAATGATACTTTTGAGACACAATCTGTGTAACCTCAAAGTGCTTATGAAATATGCACACGATAAACCATGTACAAAAAACCTTTTGTAGTATGTGTGTAGAGACGGTCCTATTTCCTTTACGTGAATTTTAATAATTATTTTCTTGAAAGTCATTATGGCAGGCCAGCAATAGTAAGCATGTTAGTTTCAGCTGATCTGCCAATAGAGGTTGTTCAGGCCTCTATTGTGCAGAACGATTCACATGAGTGAATTAGTTCATTAATTGGATAATATGTGAAGGCCTTAAAGTCACACGCTCATGTTGGTTTAATTTCGACTAGGTTTGGAATACAAAAAAATCTCACTGCAATTTTTTCTCCCCTTTGGGATCTGTGCATGTGACAGTCTGCCTCTCAGCAGGTGGCATGTGAGGCCTGAGCCGAGGTGTATTTTGCAGATGCAGTTTGGAGTTAGGGTGTTTTCACAAACTCCAAAACCTGAGGGATGCAGTACTTTTCATTTTTGTTTTTAATCGATGACTGAAATTTGAAAATGAATTTGAGCATCTTTCGATCAAGAGTTAATTTCACCAAAACAATAAAGTGATGAATTGTTTTTAAAAAAAACTTTTTAAAGGATGATTGACAGATCGATTAAAAAAAAAACTATTGTATGCACAATGCTGAGTGATAAAAATGTGCAGAAGGATTGGGGATTAATCCTTATGGCACATTGTATTAATTAACATATTTTAATTATGCTTTTCAAAGCATCACCTCTCAAAATGCAAAGAAGTGAATAACATACCTCTGAGGTCTGGTTTGTACCCCAGCGGTTTTTTGTTGTTGAAAGCAATATAATCAGTGCACATACAGTAACCAGTTGTTATGTTATGTTCAAAGATGCAGAGCAACTGTGAAGCACGCGTCTTTGCACGAACAGTCTATAGTCTAAATTAAATGAAATAGAGACGAATTTTATTTCAGACTACCCCCCAGTGAGTGGTGACGCTGTTACGTTAAAAGAGTCTAATTATTAAAAGCAATTATAATTACAGTCGAGCAAGAACACTCCTACAAATATCCATAGATTCACAGTCCATGCATACACATATCTAAACCTAGAGACCTAAAAATAAACTTTAATTCCCTTCCCAGCGAGGCAAGTGACGGCACTCCGGGGCTTCCCAAGGTGCAGGCTGATATGAAAGAAGGTGAGAATACTCACTTTGCCTATCCATAGTGCTGTGCATAGTCACAGACGGCACTCCAGGACCTGAAGAGGAAAGAAAACATCTAGAAATTGTGCACTGGATTCAGTCTTCATAAACACCTACAGTCGATGCCCAGATGAAACAATCGAATGCTTTTATACAACATAGAATTCCGATGTGTCAAAAGCTGTTGCACAATGAATCCTTTGGATTTGCTTGGCCAATTAGAATGATTCTCAATATATTCTCAGGCAGGTTCTAAACAAATATTTCCTGAATACATGGCTCTGACGATAGATTAAGCTTGACTGACCGACTGAAAAAGTTCAACGGAAGATTAATTAACATGAAATAGAGTGCAGTTTACTTTGAATCCCTACGACAGGGTGGAATGTCAAGATATGTCTTTGGTGTGAAGTTTTACTGCACAAAAATCTTAAGGTTTGCAGAAAAGCTCCACAAAGGGAGGAACGAGAAAACGAATCGCCGAAAAGTCACACTCAGAAAATGAAAGGGCACAACAGAGAAGCCTGAAGCCTGACACTTTGAGGATGCAATCAGCAGGGGAATTACAGAATTAGAAAGAGCACAATAAGGGAAAACAGAAGACACTTACAGTGGTCTCAGTCGGACAAAGTAGGACAATGGTAGCGTTGCAATGAAAAACAGTGCGTTTTTACAGGTAGCACATTATTTGACCAGCAACACTAGTGCTAGATATCTTTTAAGCACCCCAACTGACTCTTTTTCAAATTCAATTAAAAACAGTCTATCTGTATTTTGGCACAGATTATTATTATTATATCAATATCTGCATATAAGGAAGAAATATAAATAAAATAAGAAGACATATAGCACACATGCTGTATACACAACGATAAAACAAATATAAACTTTCGGTAAGAAAAACAGAGGTCTGCAATCTTTACCCATTTTAATTGATAACAATGTATCTTCTTTAAAAGCATTACCGAATAAAAATACCGCTATAAAAATAAGCAAAGAATTACTATAAATTTGGATTAAAATATGCCCTAGAATGTATTTTTTACATCTACTGAACTTAAGCTGACAAAGTGGGTCAAGCAAACTCACTATATTGATATTTGGGAGTACATGTGTATTTCAGTTCAGCTCTGTGCCCTTCTTACATTAATAAAATACAGCCACTGTGTTTTAAACCCTCTTGTAATGACAGATTGATCCATGTGGTTTTGCCCTTTAGTCTCAAAAACAATGCTCTGACAGTTAAACATAAGGAAACCATCTGCCACATGTCATGGTCTGTCAAAGGCAAGTCCTGTACTGCAAGGCATTCATATCATTAAAATATTTGTGATTTGACATTGACAGGGAAAGTGGCACTCTTTCAATCATGACTGCTTTTACAGAGTGCTTACCTTACTGGGTGCAATAGGGGGGAAAAATCAAGCACTCAAAACTACCTTCATTTCTCCATCTAAACACTTAACATTAAACATTAATTAGATTTTTATTGTTTTCATTTTCTAAAGGAATTAAAAACTATGTAACTAATGTGATATCACGAATATACAACAGTACAATGCAGACAGAAATGTAGAAAAAGTAGAAATGACAGCTAAAGGCTGGAATAAAGAATAGAAAGCACAGGTGCTAAGAAAACAAGGGAAAGAACCATATAACAGAGAGATAGAAAAAACATAAGAGTGACAGAGAGAGGTAAAAAGATCCTTGATTGGCACTGGAAATGTTTATTTTGTGCCAGAGTATCAGCTAAAGTCAATTTTGCTTTGGCAAGACATTTTGGATACAGAAAGTACCAACTTTGCAAATGAGAATGGTGCAACTCCTCATTCTCCTTTGCAAAGGTGTTCAAGCTCTAAATAATTGGCTGAGAATTGTTAGTGGACAGCAATTTTTTAATCCTGCCATAGATTTTCTATCTGGGTCCTTCAAGGACATCCAATTTCTTCCTGTTGCTCCAGTCTAGTGAAGTGTTGGCTTTGTGCTTCGGGCCATTGTCCTGTTGTGTGGTAAATTCTCATCCTGTTTTTAGGACTTTAATACACTAAAACAGTTTTTTTGTCTAAGATTTGCCTGCACTTTACTCCATCTATCCTTTTCTCAATCTTGACAGTCTTCCCAGTCCCTGCTGATGAAAAGTAGCCCCATAACACAATGTTATCATCATTATACTTCACAGTAGAAGTGGTGATGAGTCCGTGATACACTGTGTTGGGACTGCACCAGACATAACTCATTGCATTTAGACCAGAAGGTTCCTACTGTGTGTTAATTGACCACAAAACATTTTTCCACATAATTGTTTGCCACATTAATTGCCGTTTGGGTTTTATCTTTGTTTCTCTGACTTACTGCCATATGGTTTAGCATTGCAGAGTGACTATTATTGACTCAAAGTCATTTCCTCCTGTCTCAGTTACTCTATATTTTTGTGGCTTTTTCAAAGCTGTGAAGTTGTTGGCTTCACAGAGGCATTCATAACCAGTTTCTACCTTGCCAGTCTGCTCAATCTGAAGGAAAGTCTATCTGAAAGGCTGTACAGTATCTGCATAGTACAGCACACTTTCCACTTATTAATGATCAATTTCATCATGCTCACATATTAATTGTATATGAAATATTTTTATAACCTTCTCCTTATTTGTGCCTTTCTACAACTTTATTGAACTTTATGGATTGAAAACGCATTGGTCTTCATTGTTAAAAATTTGGTTTAAATTCACCAGTTGATTGAGAGACCTTACAGAGATGAATATATTTATTCTTGGTAAAGTAACAGACATCTTCCACAACACAACCACAGAAGGTATATTTGTTAAAACAGTAGTGATCATTATAGACTCCCCAGTCATTAAGGCTCCCGGGTATTTATTTTAAATCTTGTAGTCTAACACTTCAGACAGTGTCAGAATACACTTAACGTCTCCTTAATGAGTCCACACATTCTTCAAACAGGGCAGCGAGGAGGTTATTACATTGTTCTAACAAAAGATTCAAAGTCTAATCTCATGAGGTATTATCCTGCCTGCTGATTTTTTTTCACTTTATCTACTTAAAACAGCCTTGAGATTGTTTTGAGTCTTATCTTGAATCCTGCTGAACCAGTAGCTGCTATCAATTTATTGAGACTGCACCTGTTCTTCCAACACTCTGTGTCTCTCTTTTGAAAGCTCCAGACATTAACCGCAAGCACAGTATTCCCTTTTCATCTACTAAAGAGAATCAGATCAGATTTACCCTGAATTATTTATTGTGTTAACTGTTCTAGCTTCTTATTAATTTTATACGTCTTCATTTTTGCTATGGTCTCCTGTAATTACTGTAAGCTTGCAGCTTTTCAACACATATTTATTTTGAGACACCGCCAGGATGAAGCAGTCACCTGTAAGAGTTTATTACTTTGTCAACTGATTTGATGACCATATTGATTGGTTGTTAATTTAACATTGAGATGTAGATGTGTTACAGGTATAAGAAGACATTGCTTAAATGTAATACATTAACATTTAAAAAAATGTTAGTTTGTTGTATTCAGTGACCCCCCAGCCGAAGGAGAGTGAATGAATTCCTGTATGAGATGTCCTAATACCTATTGTATAGCAGGGTTCAGTTGTTTTCAGGGAAATTAAGGAAATGCAAGGAACAATAGGAACTAGGTGAGTAGACAAATGGGAGAGGAGGGACAAACATACCTTTACAGTTTAATAGGAAATACTGGGTGTTGTGGCTGAAGAGCGCACTGACATAACCACATCCTTCAATAAGGTCACATGAGAGGCAGCGTCTGTTGAATGGGCCTGTAGTATTGGCACTGAAACATAAAGGGTGATGAAAAAGAAGGCCTTAATCATGTTCTCAGTCTTTATTTTTCAGAAAATTCCAATCTATGTTAAGCAGCTATGAAAACATATACATCTATCGTGTTATTAATATACATAAATAATATGGAATATGTAATAAACATAAAGCATGATAGAACATAAATAATTAAATCTTAACTCTTACTATCAATATCACATTATCAGTTACATATTATCAACATCATGCAATCAATTTGATGATCAATATTATGCTTATATCCTTAAAACTGGTGGAAAATATAAGAAAGCAACTCACAAATGACACAACATACCTGTAGAGGTGCTGTCTTTTAGGATCATCTTCTCTGCTTAGAAAGTATCTGTTAAATTATACATTGAAATAATCAGTGCTGCCTGCTACTTAAATATGCAAATGTAAGTATCAAACACACTACTTTTACTAGCACTTTGTTTTCGCACTTTGAAAAGGCCGAATACAAAATGAAAAACAGCAGCGTAACTTGAATGTTGTATTTTGTACAACTACCAGAATTCTGACGTTCTTAAATAGGTCCAAGCAGTCCAGGTGTTGTCATATACAGAAGTCATACAGTATACTGTAAATATAGGCCAGACGTTAAAATAAGAAAAAAGTGTCTGTTTACTTAGTGTTGTTGTGCAAGAAAAAGATCACATGGTCTGTAACGTCACACAGATAAGGACACACCACAAAAATGAGACCAGGTTAAATAATCTAAACTCCAACCCAGGATTCTCTTAATGGGCAGATAAGTCTCCATTTAAACCCGAGAGGAGTCAGGTGTCTCTAACTTGACACAAAATGGTTGAGCAGATAGGAGACAGGTACTATACAACACTGTGGATCCACAGCAAGTAAGACAACCGCAAAAACAACAACCGATAAATAAAGACAGAAATGACAACAGCAATAAGTATAAATACAAAGATACCAGCTGAAAGAAACACACGTAAGTGAATAATGAATGAGAGTTTATGAGAGACTTCAGCAGAGGTCATTCCACGAGGACATGCAACAGCATTTTGGCCCCTTCCTTCAGGAACGAGAGGGGATTCCATGAGATAAAACAGTCTGGTAGACCAAGTGGTCAGCACAGTCAGAGTGATCAGAGTGCTTTGGTCTTTATAGTCCATAGACTCCTTTATCAGTCAGGTATGTGTTCAGGGGTTGGCAAGCTCAGCCGCATAATCAGTGACTCTGGGATGATGAATAAAGTCAAATCTGAATGCTTGAAGTGACAAAGTCCAGCCCGTCTGGTGGTGGTTGGCTTCCCTCATGGTTTTTAGCCCTTGCATGGCCCTGTGGAGTGTTTGCAGAATAAAGGATCTCCACAGCAGGTTGTACCATAGAGTCTCTAGTGCACATTTGGTGACTAGTCTCTCCTTTTCAGTGGTGAAAGAGGAAATCTCACTTGGCAGTAACTTCCTGCTGAGGGCAGGATAGGATGTTATTGCTGACTGGAGTCCTGGGGCAGCAATTTCCCAATGCTATGCTTGGATGAATCTGTCTGGAGACTGGACAAGTTTTTGGCACATCAAGGTAATCACTGAGAAAGCCATCATCTGTGTTTCTCTCTTATAATCCGGTGTTCACCACCCAATACTCAACTTGCTCAATGAGTACATCACAATAATGTTTTATTTTGTTATAAAGGTGCAGGAATGCTGCATTCTGAGATCTCCCTTTTGTTAATCATTTACTTGATAGTTTTGCTCCTTGTAATTCTGCTTCTGGTGTAGCAGTGACAGGGGATTCACATGACAAATATGTAGTCACCAGTGTGTGCCAGTGTGGAGCACTCATACCAATGCAAAAAGATATGAATCAGAATCTGCAACAATTCATAGACATCTTACTGTGGAAATTAATGCATTTGTCAGTTGTTGTTCTTAATCTATGACATTCAGACTGTACAGTATTATAGGCTTAATAGAGTCAGATGCAAAAAACACATTCATCAACCAGTATACGATTCTATTTCATGCTTCAGTTACTGCTATAAAATAGGTGCATTCGGGATAAAACAAATCAATAATTACTCCAGCTGAGTGTAATTTATTCCTCATAGTTCCTGAGATTGGGCATGGTGAGTGAATTTTATTTCTTATTTTTTAACTTGATAATTAAAATTCATTGTTTTGGACACATGCAGTACTTCAGATTGGGTTATAACAAACAGTACCAGTGTGCCAATAAAACATTTTTCCCCTTTTTGATCCTTTGATAAAAACACATTTCATACACCGTTTGCAGATGATACATTTGAGATCATTCTACAGCTCTAAATGTTTATTCACATGACAATTTCCATACAATTCTGTGGATCATATCAAGGTTATCCACTACTGTAATTTCCAAAGGAACTTGAGAACATGAAAACAAGAAAGTTTACAAATGACCTTTTAGTTTGAGTGGGTTGCCAGTTGTGAGTTGCAGGGTGACATGGCTGTTTTTAAATACACTTCCACTGAGTTTGTGTCCTCTGGTTAATGTTTCACTGTTTACTCTGAAGATGTCCACTGGGCTGACTTTGTCAATGCCTTTGAGTATTTTAATACTGTACTTCATCCCCTCTTAGGTCTTCTCTTGTCAAGACAAAAGTGGTTCATTTTTTAGTCTGTGACGCCCTCCTTTTGAACCCTGGAATTTATCTTGCTAGTCTCTTTAGAATATTCTAAATGAGGTCTTGCTAGTGAACTGTTCGATGTACTGTCAGCATTACATTCCCTGATTTAAATTACATGCTTTGGAACCACATGAAGTATATCCTGATATCATATTTCCTTTTTCCCCATGTTGTCTAGAACCAGTGGGGCGGACCTGTCAATGGGGGGGCGCGAGATTACGAGACATTTAGGTGCAAACACGTAAACTAGTAAAACGAAAAAGAATGAAAACAACTGCAGCGAACGTGTTGTTTCAGTCGTTAATAGCAATTCATTATTCGTCCACTAGAGGGGGGTGTTGCAATCTGCTTCATGTCCCTGGCCAAGCAGGCTGCCTGCCGTCTATTCTCGTTGGCGAAGGCTGCGGCAGAATTGAGACTTCGCATTATGCCACGATTACAAACTTAAAGATGGACCGGTGGCTTGCTGCTGAGGTTAACAACAGCGGTGAACGTGAAACTGTTAAAGCAAATTAATGAAAGGCGCTGAAATGCATGTATGTATCCATAATCTCAATTATATTGTGTGAGTGAGTGTGACGAGGCTGTTTGCATTGTTTTCTCAATGGGTTTTGGGTTGGAGGGGGCGCGCAAATTCAAACTTGGACAAACGGGATGGCACGCATGTCAAAAAGGTTGAAAACCCCTGGTCTAGAAGATCTAAGTGTCATAAACTACTGAGGCTTTTCCATAAGTAGCCTCTTCAAGCGCGTATTTACAGTATACTCTAGGTTGTCATTAGCTACATGTAATACGCTGTCCACATGACTCTGTTTACATTGTGTACATTCACCTTCAGATGTACTGTCTGCCCAGTCTTGAATTTCATCTAAATCGTTTTGAATTTAATTTGGTGCTTCGAGAATTTTAATTTGTTTGCTGATCCTCCTTTTTTGTTATTGTCTGCAGACGTGATTACCTTACCAGCTATACCGTAGTCCAGATCGCTGACTGACATTAAATAAGTGAGAGCTGATGATTGGTCCTAGTACAGGGCCCAGTGTTACTCCACTGATTATATCACTCCGATTTGAACAGTCACACCATTAAAAAAAACAAAAAAAACAGATGAACCAAATGAACTAACAACATAAGGATTTCTATTGGCTTCCCATTCAACCAAATGAGTTACTGATTGCACTTTAAAGGTGCTCCTATCTGCATGGCTCTTTACCTATCTGCATGGCTCTTTACCATCCTGTACTATCTTAAATATACAATTCACTTCTGTATTTTCTCACTCTAATTTTCCATATCCTGGTGTATATATAGGAATCAATTATATCAATTCATCATTTGGCTCAGATTTAAATCTGCAGAATGGGCCCAGTCCTAATATCTGCTCCACTCTGCTGCTTAATTAATGAACACTATTGCTCAAAGTGAAGTTTGACCCCATGATCCTGAAATTACAGTCCTCTGTTCAGGGCCAGATTAACCTATTGGTGAGTCACAGAAAAGCACTTTACACACCCACCCTCATATTTTAGTGGTGGGCTCTGTTATTAAAACCCCCACAAATGTGTGAACACCAGAATGTTACCATGTTTAGCTAATTATGTCACATTTTCAAATCAAGGCTCTGTTTTAAGTTATTGTGCATTGATAATGGAATATTAATATACCACAATTTCATGCTCCGTGTTGAAATAAACAAATTGGACCAGCGCTAAAGATAGGGTGTAGTCTTGCATTACTGTTTGCGAAATTGAATTTGCTGCTGTATTCAGGAAATAAATTTGCTACACATATTAAATTATATAATAACTGCAATTTGATGAAAAACATCATTTGTATTCAATTTTGAAGCACACTTCTTCTTTCTTTTCTCTTGGTGAACTCTTCAATTGCTTCCATTAAAATTCAAGGTCTCTAGTTTAAAGCTTTTCTCAATTGTTACTAATGCCAGTGCATTTAGCTTTTCTTCCTTCACTGTTTGTAAGAGGCAGGTTGAACAAAGAAAACATAATTTGTTGTGCATGTTCAAAGGAAGGTGTCTGCCTGTGTCCGTCAGGCCATGCATCGGTCATTGTAAATGTGCCTGCATTTCTGAATGCTGAAGTGCTATTTTCAGTGTTCTGCAGCCTTTAACTCCTTGTTAATATTGTGTGCTAAATCAGCACCAATAGGTTTTTGTATAAATGTGTACTTTACATGACAGCAATTGAAAACACCCCAATTAACATTTGTATTCACAATCTTATAACATTTTTCTTTTACTGCTCAATGCTCTGTATAAAGTAAGTAGCACCCACAGGTGCTCATGTTAGTTACTGTCATAAAAATCAAAACAAAATAGTTCACTATTTTATCAGATCAGTATGAAGTTCTTTGAGTAATCATTTCACCATGGGCAAAGAGCTCAAATCTCTTTTTCACATCAGACCACGTGTGGTAATGTACAGTATTGGGCAATGGTGTCAAAGCCATTATTTCTTTAGCCAACTAGCACAACATCACTATGTAGAAGTAGACTGCACTCCTTGATCCCGGTATTGCCCACTCTATACTCAACCCACAGAGCTTTCAGAGGCCATAAATACTCCTTTGCTACAAGAATTCTCGTTACAACTGTAAGTAGCCCCACCAATAAGAAAAAAAAAAACATTTTAATAAATTAAAATATGATACTTACATTATCTGAGTTTCTTCATTATAAGCTAAAACCTCTGTCACATCCCAGTCCCCGGAAGTTATAGACTGCAGAGTGTCAGTACTTGCATTAGGCTTTAGGGGGAAAAAAAACCCATCAGATTTAATCACCCTGGATTTTCAAAGTATTAATCACAAACAGGTGCACGGTGTTGGGGTTTAATGGGAGAAACATAATTTAGAAACCCATTGCAAGCAATCCGGAAATCTATAGGTCCTTTGAAATTCATCAATTGAAATAAATCAATGTAAAGATCCCTTAACGTGTTATATTTGCAAGCATTACTGGCATGGATCATTTTCAAAGAACAGGTAACGGTGGCTAACACCAATTTAACATTTTACAATGAGTAAAATAAACAGCAACTGAGGATCAATGTCAAGAGTTATGATAATGGACTATGTGCAACACAGAGAGGGAGAGGTAAGTGATTGAATATAGGTCACAACCAAAATTAAGGGCACACTGAAAGGAGCTTGTTGTGTTCAACTGTTTCCAGTGCTTCTTTGGATGAAGAATTGTTATTATCTGGAACAGGCTTCCCAGCCAAACGTACTGGGTGGTAGAAACCTAAACCTTAGGGTTTTTTAAAGAATCAATGGACAAAAAGTTTAGTTTCAACTATCTCCTAAACTCTCAAACACATAAACTGGCCTCCTCACCATCTGCAATAATGCTGTATGTTCTTACAGTACAGTATATCTATTAAGTAAAAACATTACAGGACAGGACCCGATACTGAACAAAATATGATGATACAAAACTGGGTATACCTGAGAATACGACATGGCGATGTGAAAGAACTTCCCTCTTGCTCCCTGTGGAATTGCTCTGGTGAAGAAGAACTTGTGCCCATCTTTGGAAAATAAAGGTGGTTCATTCTGCATGGAAGGATTAGTACATCAGAATCTTCCCTTGTGGATGTGGGTTATTTCGTCTGGTGTCTGCTCCTCTATTCCCTTATGACATTACTTTGTTTCGGTTTTCTTAATGAGGTTTCCAAAGTTGTTTGTTAGTTGCATGAGTAGGATCAAGCAATACTTGAAGTTGCATGATAACCGATGCAAGAACTGACAGTATACCCTAGCATTCCAGGTAGCATTTTCTTTTACTTGCCTGTCTATGCAACCAGCCTTCACTTTCATCTTCGTGTTTCTGGAAAGACAATTAGATGTATTTGGGGTTCAGGAAATCATAAAGCATGATTAAAAGCATGATCAAAAATTGAGTTTTTCTCAATTTCTAACACCTTTTTACACTGTTGGAAAAACAACAGTGTTACGACAATGTTTATCTAAACATTTGTGGTGCTCTAGCAGAATGTAGGGAAGTTTTGTTTGTTATAGCTATTGCTATTGTATCTTAATGCTTTTCTAGATATGCTAATGTAGCATTTTGAAATGCATGTTTTAAATTACCTAAGTGAGATGTCACAGTCAAGGTCGAAAAGATTCAATAATTTAAGGTTCAGCTTTTTTTACATATACATAACATTTATTCATTTGGTAGATGGCTTTCTGCAAAACAATTTACAATTGCATCCAGTCAAGATGCAATGGATGCAGATAACAGTAACAAAAAAAACAGACAGTCCAAATACCCTTAATGTCATGATACCTAAAAGCAAATTAACATTTTTATAACTTGTAAAAACAGTACAGTAGCTTAAAAAACAGAGATTAGAAATAAAGGATTCTTAACGTACCTTAGTGCAGACACCAGTGGTAGCTTCACACAGAGTCATGATAGAGATGTTCTGAGCTCTGTTGAGCCAATTTACAGCCAGTTTCGTACTCGTTGCCCACTTCACCATTGTTATGTAATATTCCCTAATGCAAAGTAAGTTTTGTTACTTTTTTGTGTTCAATGTTTAATTGTATCAATCTAACAATACTATTAACTAGATCAGAAACCTTTAGAAACGGAAGAGAGAAAGAGGAAGACCGTAGAATAAATAATACTGTGAAAAGGGCCTCCTTTGGCAGATAAAAACAGAACATGTACAGTACTACTGTATATAGGTAATCTGAGCATTAAGGATACTGAATGTGGGACTGTTGTGTTTTAATAATGGAAATGGGTATTTCCTATTTGTGGTATCCACCAGGCTTAAAAAAATCTCTTGCTTGTTTAGCGCTGCACTGTTTCGAATGGAGAAAAAGACTGCTGTTCATTTACCATCCGCATTAGGGAAAGTTTAGTCCCAAGCAGGGCCTTTTGTTGGATAAGAAGCAGGTGTCCTTTCCCTGCAAAGTATTTGTGCCTCACTTTTATCAGAGAAGGCAGAGTGGTGATACACAGATGTTTGCAAATATCTACAGAATTGTAGAGAGCATGTGTTTTACTCTGCTTTTGTGAATTCATTTTGATTTAGTCACCTCACCGTCTTTGTAGTGCCAAGGAAAACATGTGCATGTACAGTAAGTGTCACTGCTGATGGTAGGGGGCGTACAATTGTTATTAGGTTTGTAATTTGCTTGCAAAGCAAGTTGGCATCAGGACTCAACTCTTACTATTCTCCTTTTAATTATTCACACCCCTTACTTATTAGAATATAAATATTGTATGCGAATATAGATTGATTTTTACATCTGTTTTCGATCAATGATGTAGATAGCAGTAATCTTTATGGCTTTTACACAAGTCTTCCAAAGTTGCTGCAGTCACAGTGCTTAGTAGCCCTATCTTCAATGCTAGCCAACTAAAATAAATAAATCTAACTAAGCTGACTAAAAGGGGGTTGCAATGTTATCTTTATCTTTATACTGTACCAGTGCAATATACAATACTGCATTGTTTTGATGTAGTATACAATAATTGTATTCCTGATTAGTGCAAGGTTGCTAAAGGTCTGGTTCAAGAAATACTAAAACTGTTCTTGAACTGGTTAAAGAACAGTTAAAGAACTGGTATCAATGCATTTACAGTACCTCCACAACAACAACAAAAACGAAAATAATCTCAGAACACAGCACCTCATTCCTGTACAGACGACAAAAAATATACCACTTGTATACTACACAATGGATATTATTGTTTATATCTGGAATTCATTAGCAATTTCAATACAGTATTTTTAATTTTAAATTCAGTTTGGCCTGGAACCCTGTAATGGAATATCAAGTATGGAAAGGATAGATAATATATAGAACATGCGCATCGATAATAACAGAAATAAACAATTAATTTTTATATATAATAACTGCAGTTACATAAAAGATCTGAAAAGGTATGAAACAGTGCGTGAAATGAATTGTCATTAGTCTTTATTAAATCTAATGTTAATAGTAAGGTAGAAAACTAAAAACATATACCTGATTCTTTGATCCTCGGGGCGTTTCATCTCTATGGTGTGCAGAGGGCCATTTAGGTTAACCACATACAAGTAAATCACTGGATTTTCCTTACCAGCCTGCAGGAAGAAGCACATGATAATATATAATTGGGTCATGCAGGTTGGCTTCTATTACAAGTAATCAGCTGCTGATAAATACTCTACAGGAATTGTTTAAGGTCATGCATTTTCATCAAGCAAGCCCTGGTAATGTGTTGTATATTTAAATCAGTTTCCTCTGCTTACCTTTGGATAGTGGTACTCCTTCCCAGTAGGGTACACAGAGCCTGTATAAATAGGTATCTCCATTTTCGGTACTAGTGTGTCATCGATTGTTGCATACGCTAACCTCGCACCATCTGGAGACCACCAGTGAGCGATATGGGTTTGGAATATCTCCTCTGTAAAAATAAATAATTTGTGATTAATTAAGGGAATGCCTTGTTATTACATAATCTAAAAAAAGAAGGAAAATAATTAAATAAACAATTCAATATTCATTCATAGTTTTTGGTCAGATTGTGCTGCTTTTACATTTGTTGTGCAGACACGATAATTAACATCATTCGCAGTGTATAAACATCATACCAGTCCATCCTTACTCTTGTAGTACAAAGCTTTTGTAACAAATCCATGCTAGAAGGAAGAAATAGAAGATAAGACAGCATATGCAGAAATACTGTATATTGTTACTGTATGTATTGGGTGTATTTTGCATATGCAGGCTGGTAATTTTATTCTCCCTCATCCTGGATAGTTGCTTTGTCATTCTGGTTCATTCTGAATTGCAAGGTAGTGTTTGCACTGCTAAGGATTATCTAATAAAGAGTCCCAGTTGAGTGTCTTGATGGCTTTTGAGACTGAAATGGTCTGGATCTAATCAGTCAAGCTCCTGTACTTATTAGGTAGACAGCAAAGGAGGAAAGTGATATGCTGTAGCAGAGAGGGATTCGGTATTGGATATATGATACGAGATTCAGCACTTCACAATCATCCTCATTGAGTCAAGACAGGTTAAATAAAGGGACAGCTGTATTTTTCATATTTGCAGAAATATTTAGCATTTTTTTAATCACCAGGGAAACGTTTGTCACTCCTGCCCCTACAGTATGTGAATGCAGTCTTGTAAAGGGACCCATAGTTGTCTACTATTAGAATCAGTTTAAAGTATAATCTTACCTGTGGAAGATTATTTATTTTATGGAAACAGGATAAATTTGATATATTATAAAAAATACACCCATTTCTAAACATATTAAGATTGTTCAATGTTAGTAATTAATTACAGTCAGAGGATGATGCAAGTAATTCCTGAAGGGTTTGGAACTCATTCCAATAGTACATAAATTACATCCAGTGTCCTGTAAATAAATACATCTTTGTCTTTTAAGATATTGCCACAGATATGTGTTGAGTAATAAGGGTGTTTTATTATTGAACTATCATAATTTGGTTGCACTGAAGTTGGTGACGGGACTATTACAGTACATAACATACAGTATATTAACCCCAAACCTTATACTTAAAAAACCTCAATGCCATCTCAATGTTTTATCAAAATTGTATTATCTAAGGTTAGGTAGTACACAGTTTAAACCTAAGTAAGGATGTGTTTTACACTAGTGTGAAATAAAACACTTATATACAGAAAGCAATATGCTGTATCTAATAAACAACTATTTGACATGGACATGGAAAGGATTTTTAGACAATAAAAGTTTAGGATTAAGAAAGTGGCGATGAATATTTGTCAGTAATAATGGGCATTGTACACTATACACATAACAAGTGACATTAGAATGCAGCACATCCATATAGGATTACGTACTGTAGCTATTTTGTGTTTTTAATGCCTCTCAGTATATAATGTGTTTGAGTATACAGTATATAAAAACCTGGTGAGGTTCATTCCTGTTATGAATGACAATAGTGTTTCTCATTTCACTTCAGTGTACTACAGCCTGTATCAGGATTTCTCTCATTCTGCTGATTCTCCATTTACTTTCTTGGAAAAGAAATTGCTTTTTTTGGAAAGCAATTCCTACAGATGTGAAATTTCAATGTTCATCATGAAATAAGGAATTATATTGTTTTTATCATGAATATGATGAAAAATAACCACAAAATATTGACAATTTAAAATAAACTTAATAAAATTGACTATAGACATAGTGTCGGGGACAAAAAAGAAAGGTCTTAAGCAAAAATCCAAGGTGAAAATCTTAGACGATGTGGATTGATTTCCACATTAACCAGTCTCAGAGAAAAAAAATGTACTGTATTTGAATAAAAATACTGTAAGTCACACTGAGAGTGTTATTTGGTTACTTGGTTTGAAGGTTTGGTTTGCAGGATAATTCAGTGCAGCACATATAAAATTGGTACATGTCACATGAGGCATATGGAAGTATAGGGAATTATTTCTAACAAGGAATTTAATTTTAAATTAAAATGAGTGACAATTGTGAAGCAATATTTATTCCTTTTATTCTTTTATTCCTTTTTTCTTTCTCTGTCTTGAATTATAAAGCTGAAATTTCACAGTTACCAGTTTAAGAATTTTGAAAGAGAAAGTTGATGGCTGTTTGTTGTTGTGTGTTTGAATTGTGAGTTTTCCTTTAAAGACGTTTAATAGAAACATTACTTTATATTCTGTAATATGTAAATTAATTATTTTAGGTGTTCCGTTTCTGCATCTTAAACTAATAATTCACCTGATTTGTCTTTACGAATGAGAAATCAGACACCTGATTCATGATGATTTTCATGAAAAATACCATGAGCCAACAATATATTGCTAAACAACAGATGCCTTGATGTTTAAAGTCTTTAGTATATATAGTTCACTTGTAAAAGGAAGATGAAGCTTTAGCTGAAATTCCCATTAGAAAGCACTATTAAAAAACAGCTAAAGTAGTTCATTAGTGTGCATGTGACCATCAGCTGAATTGCCTGACTGAGCACAAGGCCTGTGAAAAGCCACTTGCTGAGTAGAGTCATTGCTAATTACAGACAAAATGCCAAGTGTTCATCTGCTGAGCTTTTATTCCTTTAATGTATTAATCTTTTAAAGCCTTTAATTACTACAGTAATAAGGAAGCACAGCACTGACTTGGGGAATATTCAGAATTATACTGGGGAATAGTAATGTTTTAATATTCTGCCCGTACATTCACAAATACGCAGCTTTCTTTTTCTCTAGAACTAAATTGGCTCTCTGTTTCCTGACAGTAGTCGAAATGTAAATGTTTGAAGACACAATTCAAGGATATAGTGATGTGGTTGAATGTACTGGAAGAATGAGAAATTGTAATAATAAATTGTAAGAGTGCTTTTAAGACTACTAAAAGTCAACTGGACAAAATAACAAGCAATATTTGCATAGATTAAAATACAGTGTATAACATACTGTACAATTTATTAAAACAACAACAGAAAATGCATAGCAAACCAACAAGAATAATAGTATACTGTATGTGAATCACTCAGGGATAACAAATATATTAATGACATCAGGGTTACAATACTGTATACTGATAGGGTGTCCAGTATCCCTATCACCCTAGGATATAGCACTATTGCTGAATGTAGTTTGATATTCTGTCTTTTTGACAGAAAATACTCCACCTAAGATGGAACTTGGGTAGATGGCATTAGTAGAATCTCATTGCAAACAAGGAGGGAGTGGGAAGAAACACTCTCTGGCCATCTCCATATGAAAACCATTAGTGAAGGTCCAGCGATATTCCAGGGACAACAGTTCAAGAAGTCAGGGGTCAAGTCCAGGTGCATAATCTACCTGTACACGTACGTCCTGATGGTGCGTGCCTCTTACACACGCAATGTTGACCTGAAGCTTCATCTTAAGAAGTGTTCAAGAGAAAGACAAAGTTCCTGTGAGGCGTGTTGAGCCAGCTGAAAGCGGGGGTGGGTGGGAGACTCAGGATCTGGTGAAGATCCAGGAGGTTATGATTTGACTGTCCCAATCACTATGGAAGAGCTCCAGAGCTTCCTCAGCCTGTGCTCTTACTAACGTGAATTCATGCAAGGGTTTCCTCTTCATCATTTGATGGTAGAGAGAGCGTTTTTAGTCTGTTTAGAGGAGTGTGAAGATGCGTTTCAGCAGCTGAAAGGGGTCCTGAACTCAGTCCCCCTTTTCTGTTTTACGGGTTACCCAAGCTCAACACTTTGTCATCGATGTGGCATACATCAGTAAAGGTCTTTCCTGCATGAAGAGCAAGCCCTACGGTACAGCACATCAAACGATGGCGAACGCTGGTGCTGGTTAAGGGAATCCGATTTATCCATCCCTCCTCGTATGACTTGATCGGTTCTCCTTCTAGTGGCTTCTGAGTTTCACCAAGCCTGTGAGCCATCTTGCCAGGGGGGGGGTCGAGGCCCTTTAGGAATATCGATTCACCGTTTCGAAAACGCTAGACTAAAACAAAACTAAACAGGCACTCTATTGTTCCAGGCAGGCTCAGATCAGGTGTGCGGGAGTGAGGGGACCCAAGTGACATGAGCTACTGCTGGAGACTCCAGGCTTTGCTTCTCCTGCTGGAAATGGGGAAGTTGCCTAGATTAACACGGCACATGGGACGTCTGCCCTTTCTCTAAGATGGTAAGGAAGGGATGGCTAAATAGAACTACAGTACCACCTAATGAGGCTGATGTTGTGAAGGGTGACTCAGGTAGGGGCAATGTGGTAGTCTTTTCTCCCATGGAAGGGGACTGGGAGAAAGAGTTTCTGTGCCTGGGCTACTTCCAGCTGAACCTTCCTCTGTCCTAAATCCTAAATTGATTTACTGTATATATGTGCAAACCAGATGATTCAGAAACAAGCAAAGTTCAAAGGGAACTTGCCTCATTTTTGACTCTGCAGAATATTTTTATTTTAAAAATCTAGATACTAAAATTTGATTTGTTTCCTTGATTTGGTGAGGTGATATTGTAGTACAGTATGTCGAAATACAGTATTTTGACTTGTTTTGTACAAACACAAAAACAATAATAATAATAGGATCAAAAACACACTAAGGGTTAACAATGAAAAGAAAGACACAGTACACAATTAACTTGTAATCTTTCCTCATTTGGTTGGAATTTAACCATGCAAAGAGTACCCAATTAAAATTAATCAGCAATACAACAAGAATCAACATAATGTAGTTTATAGATGACATTATTTTATTTGAATATATAAAAAAATGGGAATTAGGTGTGACAGGTAAAAATAAATTAGAAAAAACATTTTCAATAAACAAGGAATTGTAAACTACGTTTACTATGTCACATGAAACAGAAATAATTCAAAATAGATTCAAACAATAAGTCTGATTTAAACATAATGAACCTCACAGTTACAGCATTTGCTGCAAAAGACTAATTCAGTTTCTTGAAT